TTGCTGTGGTCTTCCCAACTCAGGGGTTGAACCGCAGTTCTTACATCTCCTCCATTGGCAGGTGGGCTCTTCACCACTGACCCCACCTGGGAAGCCCCACCAGTATTGAGTTGGCCAAAAATTTCCTTCCGGTTTTTAAGTTAAAATGAAAGATGAACTTTTCATTTTCATCAAGAACTTTACTGAACAATGTATTCATTGTTCACCACCATTTTGTCCCACTACCTTCTGCTATTTTTTCAGACAATGATGGAATTCCATCCTCCCCAGACTTTTTACCTCTTTGAGCAAAGAACTATTCCAGGTGCCTTTTACAGTCTTCCAGGGAATTGTAGAATTTTTCCATTAAGATAATTTTGTAAAGACTGAAATAAATAGACATCCAAAGGTACACTGCCTGGTGAATACAATGAGTGAATCAGAACTTTCCACCCAAGCTGTAACAGCTTTGGTTTGGTCATCAAAGAAACATGTGGTCTTGTGTTGTCCTGATGAAAGATTATGCAGTTTTTGTTGACTAATTCTGGATGCTTTTCATCAATTGCTGCCTTCAGTTGGTCTATTTTGTAGCAGTACTTGTTGGAATTAATCTTTTGGTTTTCCAGCAGGAGCTCATTATAGAGAACTTCCTTCCAGCCGTACCCTATATACAATATCACCTTCTTTGGATGAAGATGGGCCTTTGGTATGGTGGTGGTGGTTCATTTCCTTTGCCTCATGATCTCTTCCATTCCACATTATTGTACAATATCCACTTTGCATTGCCAGTCACAATTTGCTTTAAGAACAGAATGCTTTTTATGTCTAAGTAGAGAATTGCATGTGGAAATATGGTCAATAATTTTTTTTTCCATTTAACTTATGTGAAACTCAAACATCAAAATAATTAACATAGCCAAGCTCGTGCAAATGATTTTCAATGCTTGATTTGGATATTTTGAGTATGCCAGCTATCTCCTACATGGTATAACACTGTTTGATCACAATTAATGTCTTGATTTGATTGTTGTCAACTTCAACTGTTCTACCCGATAGTGGAGCATTGTCCATCAAGAGATTTTCAGCTTGAAACTTTGCAAACCACTTTTGATATGTTCAGTCACGGCATCTTGTCCATACACTGCACAATGTTTTTTTACATTTCAATTGCATATTTGTCTTTCTTGAAAAAATAAAGCATAATATGCCAAAAATGTTGCTTTTCCCTTCCACCTTCAGTTTTAAAATAGCTACACAAAAATTCACCAATTTTGATAATTTTTAAAAATGCATGTGACAGCACAGCTGTCACAATATAATGTAGCAAAATTGTTTCAAATAAAGTTAAAGACAAGTAAGTGCTAATAGAGCCATCTTACACAGAAGAGCTACTAGAGTCATCTTATACAGAAGAAATGTACAAAAAAGCTCTTAATGACCCAGATAACCACAATAGTGTGGTCACTCACTTAGAGTCAGACATCCTGGAGTGTGAAATCAAGTGGATCTTAGGAAATATTGCTACGAACAAAACTAGTGGAGGTGATGGAAATCCTAAAAGATGATTCTGTTAAAGTGCTACACTCAATATGCCAGCAAATTTGGAAAACTCAGTAGTACATGAACAGAGAACTTCTAGATGTACAAGCTGGATTTAGAAATGGCAGAGGAAGCAGAGTCAAATTGCCAACATCTGCTGGATCATAGGGAGAGCAAAGGAATTCTGGGAAATATCTAAATCTGCTTCATTGTCTATGCTAAAGACTTTGACTGTGTGGATCACAACAAACTGTAGAATATTCTTGAAAAGATGGGAATACCAGACCATCTTTCATGCTTCCTGAGAAACCTGTATGCAGGACAAGAAGCAACAGTTAGAACTGAAGATGGAACAATGGACTGGTTCAAAATTGGGAAAGGAGTAAGGCAAGGCTGTATATTGTCAGGTTTCCCTCGTAGCTCTGTTGGTAAACACTCTGTCTGCAATGCAGGAGACCCAGGTTCCATCCTTGTGTTGGGAAGATCCCTGGAGAAGGAAATGGAAACCCACTCCAGTATTCTTTCCTGGAGAATCCCGTGGACAGAGGAGCTTGGCAGGCTACCATAGAGTCCATGGGTCACAAGAGTATATTGTCACTCTGCTTATTTAACTTATATGCAGAGTATATCAAGCAAAATGCTAGGCTGGATGACTTAAAAGCTGGAATCAAGATCGCTGGGAGAAGTATCAACAACCTCAAACATGTAAATGATACCACTTTAATGGCAGAAAGTGAAGAGGAACTAAAGAGCCTCTTGATGAAAGAACCAGAAGATCTTGGCATCTGGCCCCATCACTTTATGGCAAATAGATGGGGAAAAAGTGGGAACAGTGTCAGACTTCTCTTTCTTGGGCTCCAAAATCACTGTGGACTGTGGCTATAACCAGAAAATTAAAAGATGTTTGCTTCTTAGAGGAAAAGCTATGACAAACCTACACATTGTATTAAAAAGCAAAGATGTCATTTTGCCAACAAAGATGCATACAGTCAAAGCTATGGTTTTTCCAGTAGTCATGTATGGATATGAGAGTTGGACCATAAAGAAGGCTGAGCACTCAAGAATGGATGCTTTAACTGTGGTGTTGGAGAAGACTCTTAAGAGTCCCTTGGACTGCAAGGAGATCAAACCAGTCAACCCTAAGGAATCAACCCTGAATATTCATTGGAAGGACTGGTGCTGAAGCTGAAGCTCCAATACTCTGGCCACCTGATAGGAAGTACTGACTCCTTGGAAAAGATCCCGATGCTGGGAAAGATTGAGGGCAAGACGAGGAGACAACAGAGGTGGTTGGATGGCATCACTGAGTAAATGGACACGAGTTTCAACAAACTCTGGGAGATAGTGAAGGACAGGGAAGCCTGGCATGCTTCCGTTCATGGAGTATCAGAGTCAGACACATCTTAGGGTCTGAATAACAAGAAAAAAGAGCCATCTTATGGAAAAAACTGAATGAACATTTTCGTCAGCCCAATAGATGTGAAAGACTTATGGTTTCTATACTTTGTCATTCCACTTTATCTTTTCATAAATATATGAAAATTTTTCTAACAAGGTAAATTTTCCCCAGTTCTTCTAGGGGGATTTTCTATCTAATGCTCTTCTATTCAGGGTCTCCTGTAAGAATTCCTTTATGGTGGAATTTGGGCTTTTCTCATAGCTCAATTGGTAAAGAATCTGCCTTCAATGCAGGAGATCCTGGGCCAGGAAGATCCCCTGGAGAAGGGATAGGCTACCCACTCCTGTATTATTGGGCTTCCCTTGTGGCTCAGCTGCTAAAGAATCTGCCTGCAACGTGGGAAACATGGGTTCAATGCCTGGGTTCAGAAGATCCCCTGGAGAAGGGAGGAGAGGCTACCCACTTCAGCATTCTGGCCTGGAGAAGTCCAAGGACAGTCCATGGAGTTACAAAGAGTTGGCCACGACTGAGTGACTTTCACCACCACTATGGTGAAGTTTTGTTTATGAAAATAATTTAAAAAATTAATTAATGGCTGTGTTGGGTCTTCATTTCTACTCAAGGGCTATTCCTTAGTTGTGTTTGGGCTTCTCATTGCAGTGGCTCCTCCTGTTGTGGCCAGGCGCTTGTAGGCTGAATAGCTGTGGTGCACAGGCTTAGTTGCCCCCAACATGTGGAATCTTTCCCAACCAGGGATTGAACCCATGTCCCATGCATTGGCAGGTGGTTTCTTAATCACTGGACTACCAGGGAAGTCCCATGACAATAATCTTCTAAGGCCTTTTTCAAATTTCACATTGAGGTACAGAAGAGTAAAGTTAAATTTATTTTTGCAGTTCATCCCAGATACTGCAAGTGAAAAAAAAAAAAAAAAAAACCACAACACAAAACTTGACTATTCATTTCTATTTACCGTTCTCAAAAAAAAAAAAAAAAAAAAAAAAAAACCTTTAAAAAAGAGAGATTATAAACCAAAGTTCTGGGGAATTGATGAATCAGGAGAGGGCTTGAACTCTGATTCCAGAATTAGAACCATCTAAGCTTCCTTTCTGGAAAAGCATTTGGTTTGGGAAGCGCTCAAAATACCGTAACACCCCATAGAGTAGAGCACAGATCAGATCTTCGTCACCTGCCTATGAACTATTGCTCTATTAATACTTCACACTACATCCTAAATGTGGCCATCCTGCTGTTGCCTTGAGACTTAAATAAACAAGTATAAATTTTAAAAGCTATCATTTTTTAGTGGTTAATTGCAATGGTTCCTCCAGTTAGGAGACATTCCCGGTAGGGTTGAGATAGGGGTTAGTCTTACCTGGTGGGGAAGCACGTAAATTAAACCAGCGGTTTTCAGACTTTTTGGTCTCAGAACCCACCCCTGTATGCTCTTGAAAATTACTGAGAGAGTTCGTAGACTTTTTGTTTATGTGGGCTAGTTACATGTATTGATATTTACTTAGACAGTAAACCAAAGAACACTAAAGAACATTTTAAAAATAACGAAATACATTGTTAACATAAATATTGATTATGAAAAATACATTCTCCAACAAAACTTAAAGAGTGGCATTATTTTAAATTTTTGCAAATATCCGCAATATCTGCCTTAGTAGAGAATGGCTGAATTCTCATATCTGCTTCTGCATTAAACTGCTACACGTTGCTTCGGTTGAAGTAGACGAATAAAATTTAGTCTTAGGCAATTGCAAGAACCGGAGACGCTCTGAAACGTTTTGGGGCCCTGCAGGAAACCTATGGCCACTGTTGAGAGCCGCTGAGTTAGATCAGGAGCACTTCTCGGAGGAGGCGGCCTCTCGAGTCCTGAAAGCCGAGCGGATAGCTAACGTGCGCAAGCAGAAGGCGAGGCAGTCCACGAGCGGACTGTGGTACAGGGCCAGCAGGGATCCCTCGGCTCGGGGTCGGTCGATTCCGCCCTCGCCCGCCATTCTGGGACCCACGCCACGTTCATGAAGAGCAGCGCAGGGGGAGAGACCTGCCCGTCAGCATCACACTGAGCGGGCGGTCAATGAGCCACGGAAGAGCGGGCGCGCGCAGCTCTGGCGGGGCCGCGGGCGGGCCGCGCCCTCGGAGGCCCGAGGCCCGCAGCGCGCAGGCGCGGCGCTGCCCCGGAACGGTAAACAGTGCGGTCACGTGACGCGGCCGCGCTCCAGCCGCCGGGCCGCCGCCGCCGTACGCAGATGGCCTCGGGGTCTCGCGCCGCCGCACGGTCCCCACGAGGCGCCCTCTGCTCTGGCGCTGAGCGGCGGCGGCTGCACGAAGGCTGAGGAGGGCGGCGCAGAAACCGGGGCGCCGGGATTCGCGGCGGCCGGCCGGCCGTGAGGAGGAAGCGGCCGCGGCAGCGACGCCTGCGTCCCGCGCGTACCCCCTCTCGGCGCGCCGGCCCCCTCCTCCGCGCGGCGCGGCCACCATCTTCCCTCGCTGCCTGAGGTAGCGCTCGTCGGCGGAGCTGGTGAGTGGCGGCGCGGCGGCGGCCGGCGACGCGCGGCCCTCCCCCCTTGCCCCGCGCCCCGCACCCTCCCGCCCTCCGCCGGCCGGGCTCCGCGCCTCCCTCCCGCGCAGACCGGGGCGCCCCCCAGCCTCTTGCGCAACGCCTCGGCCTGCCCGCGCCGCCTCGGCCGCCCGTGACCGTTTGGGTCGCGGCGGCGGGGCCGCCCGGCGAGGGTCGGGCCGCGGCCTCCCAGCCGGCTCCGTGCCCCCGCCTCGGTTGAGTCCCGCCGCCGCGCGGGCGCTCGGGCGGGAAGGCGCGGCGGCGCGGCCCGGAGGCCCAGCCCGCAGGCCTCGCCCCGGCGCTGCAGCGTCGAGCCTGGGCCCTGAGTCCGGCCGCGGAGCCGAGCTGGCTCCCCGCCTCCGGGACGCGGGGCCTGCGCTCCATCCTCCCTCCCGCGGCCGCGCGCTTTTGTGGTCGGGCCCCAAACTGTCGCCTTCTTTTGCAGTTTTAAGTGAGGAGCCCGGAACCTGGCCTTCGACAATACGTGTAATTTAATGAACCACTTGTCGACCCGTGGGTGTTAATGGTGCTAAATGGCCGGTCACCTGACTGGGGGGCGGGGAGGACGGAGAAAGGGGGAGAATGCTGGTGCAGCACAGCGCCCCTGCTTCTCTCCAGCCGTGTATCGCGGGGTCCGAGGGTTCGTTCCCATCTTTGAGTTTTTAAATGCTGCTTTTCAAGACTCTGATTTGAAGTAGAGTGTGTGGTTATTGGTGCTGTTCAGGAATCATTTGCATGGTCATGAATAGTGATTAATGTAGGCGGCAACAACGCTTTAATATCTTCCCAGTCCTAATTTTCATTGCGTTTATTGATACTTAATTTAAAATGAAACGGAGATATTTGAGCCTTCGCAAATACGATCTTTTACCACGTTATTTTAAGCTGGTGGGGGTGGGAGGTGCTTAAATACTACATTGTTTCTATTTAGTTAGTATTTTGGGTTCGAACTTGTCTTCCCTTTTCTAAGCTGGTTGAGATCTTCCAAAACTATGCTTCTATTATTCATTCATTTAGCTACCATTTTTTGATTCTCGAATGAAGTGTTTGGGATTGTGAAAATGTTTGTAGATGTGTTTTTCTGGTAGGCGAGAGAGGAGTCAAAGAACCAGGAAATTTTTGCAGTATTCTTCTGTTGTTGAACTTGTATCTTCATTCCAGAGCACACATGGTGGGTTTGAATATTATTGTTTTAAATAGTTATTTCTTTACCATTATTACCACTTAGACCTTTACCTTTCCTTTATTATTTCTACCCAGTTCTGTTTACTGGACGTATATAATGATAATAAAGTTTCCCTCCATCAGCATCGTCGTCATCACTATTTTAAAATATATACTCCATTTCCCCATGATAGTAACAGAATTGAAGGAAGTAATTTTAACAGTTCTTACTGCGCTGATGAAACCAGTAACAGTTCAGTCAGTTCCTTAGCAGCAGAAAGACATCCACTCAACCGAGGTGAGCCTCTTGTTAAGTATGCAGAGCTACAGCCTTAGAGTTTAAGCTTTACTTGGTAGCTGTACCGGAGATTTGTGAGGAGTTAGTGATGGACGGAGGAGCCTGGTAGGCTGCAGTCCATGGGGTCACGAAGAGTCGGACACGACTGAGCGACTTCACTTTCATTTTTCACTTTCATGCATTGGAGAAGGAAATGGCAACCCACTCCAGTGTTCTTGCCTGGAGAATCCAGGGACTGGGTAGCCTGGTGGGCTGCCGTCTGTGGGGTCGCACAGAGTCGGACACAACTGAAGCGACTTAGTAGCAGCAGCAGCAGCAGTGACGGGACAAGTTTCCCCACTTCATGCATGCTTTGTAGGTCCATTTGTTGAAGAACGTGAAAATGTAACTAATACTGCTTTTGCATCGGGTGGGAGGATAGTGAACTTCCTTAACCATCACACTGAATTAGTTATGCTTTCAGTGCTCTTGGGATAGACGTCAGATAACTGTCTAGGTGATCCTGTGACATATCCATCTGTTGCATATTCAGATAAGTCAAATCTATGAGAAGTGGTCTCTGTAAATGTAGGTGAAAAACCACATTGGTTCCAAGCAACGTTCAGGATGGACGTATGGAAAGGAAGTTGTCTTTATATTATTTAAAACCATAATGTTAAAATCATAATTGTTTTGCGTATTGGAATCGGGAAAGGTTGATAATTTTTGACTTTATAATAGCAATTAATAAAACTTTTTAAAATTTTATTTTTCACTGAAGGATAATTGCTTTACAGAATTCTGCTGTTTTCTCTCAAACCTCAACATGAATCAGCCATAAATGCACATATATCCCCTCCCTTTTGAAACTCCCTCCCATCTCCCTCACCATCCCACCCCTGTACAGAGCCCCTGTTTGAGGCAATTAATAAAATTATTTTTGACTAAAGTTAGTTTTGGGTACTAAAATATAAATAATGGTTCTCTTCCTTGACATGGTAAGTTTTTACCTTTATGATATGTCTTTTTTGATATATAGTTTTTTAAATCTTTACACAGATACCTCATGAAATCTTTTTTAGTTAATTTTTAAGGATAATAACCTGGAGGTAAGATCTTTATTATTTTTTAATGAGGAAATGTAGTTATTGATTAGCCTCTCAGGTTTGTGGATCACCACCAAAGTGTTAGGGAATGCAAGGTTCTTGAAGTGCTGACTTCTAAATGTTTTTATTCATTTACATTTCATCGATTCTTTTGGACTTCTGGTTGCTGGATTTCTTTCCTGGAACAGTACATCTTAGGCTCTGTTTCTTTCATTTTTTAGACCACCCTCTGAGAATCCTGGATTATCTTTTCAGAAGTGTAGATATCTTATTTTTTAACTACAAAAATGACTTGGCAAATTTTTACATATTTCTAGCACTTGCATTTTTGAGAACAGTAAAAAAAAAATTCTTTAATGTTGCCCTTTAATTACATAGGGAATGATATTGACAGTATTGATTTGATTAAAACTATTTGAGACTCAGGTACTATTTGTATTCTCATGGAATGTATTCTTGGTTGAGAAACCAGATTCAGATGGGAGCTGTTAAATCATTGAATTAAGAGATAAAAGAAGAAGATATTTCAAGAGTCACAAAACACATTGTATGAGAAATTGCCTAATGTATAGCCTGGACAGTTATTGCCATGCATTGTGTGTTTAACCTCGATCATTTTTAATGATCAAGATTTAAATATTTAGGATTATTTGTATAATGGAGTGAGGGTGAAGAGAAACAGTTTTACTATCCTAACGTTTTATCTTTTGTCACAGTCTAACTTTATTGGACAGAATTTTGAATGGCATAGTGGATTGTACACAAAGGCTTAAGTTTTAGTTCATAATTTGTGTGAGATGGTCACATGAAAACATTATAAAATTGTAGACTTTGAAAATTGTGAGGTTTGTGGTTCATCACTTCCACAATGATGATGTACACACTAAAGATATCTATTTTATTTATTTCCCAATTTGTTTGGAAGTGGGCATGTCACTGTTTTCAATATTTTAACGATTTCATTAACGATATAAAGATTGATATGTGTCATGCGCATAGACTTCATAAAGTATAGTAGGTTAAAAGTGCAGGCTCAGGAATCTTGCTGCCTGGATTCCAGTTTGGGTATAGAGACATACCTCTTTTATTGTGCTTTGCAGACACTTCGGGTGTTTTTTTTTTTCCCCAAACAAATTGAAGGTTGTGGCAATCATGTATGGAGCAAGTCTTCCTGCCAGTTTTTTTAAGCAGCATTTGCTCACTTTGAATCTTCTATATCACGTTTTGTTAATTCTCACAATATTTTAAACTTTTTGTAATTATTGTGTTGTTTCTCTGTGATTGGTGTTGATGTTACTGTTGTCATTTTGGGTTACTACAAACCACAACCCTGATAAGATAGTGAACTTAACTGTAAATGTTGTGTATGTTCTGATGCCTCCACTGACTGGCTGTTCCCTGTTTTTCTCCCTCTCCTTGGGCCTCCCTAGTCATTGAGATGCTATAATATTGAAAGTAGGCCAGTTAATAACCCTGCCATGACCTCTTAAGTTTCCGAGTGAAGAGTCCATGTCTCTCACTTGAAATCAAAAGTTAGAAATGACTGAGGTTAATGAGGAAGGCATGTTGAAAGCCAAGATATCTTCCAAAGTAGGCCTCTTGTGCCAAACGGTTAGTTGAGTTGTGGATGCAAAGAAAAAGTTCTTGAAGAAAGTTAAATGTGTAGCTCCAGTGAACATATGAATGAAGAAAGTGAAACGACCTTATTGCTGATACAGAGAAGGTTTTAGTGGTGTGGATAATCAAACCAAACACAACATCCTCTTAAGCCAAAGTCTAATTTGGAGCAGGCCTTAACTCTCTTCTATTCTTTGAAGGCTGAGAGAGGTGGGGAGACACAGAAGAAAACTTGGAGCTAGGAGAGGTTGGTTCATGAGGTTTGAGGAAAGGAACTGTCTCCATAACATAAAAGTACAAATGTGTGAAGTAGCGCATACTGATGTGAAAGCTGCAGCAAGTTTTCCAAAGGATCTAGCTAAGATAATCATGAAGGTGGCTACCCTGAACAACAGATTTTCAGTTTAGTCAAAACAGCCTTCTGTTGGAAGAAGATGCCGTCCTGGATATTCATACCTGAAGAGATATCAGTGCCTGGTTTTAAAGGACAGGCTGGTTCTCCAGTTAAGAGATTAATGCAGCTGGTGACTTCAAGTTGAAGCCAGTGCTCATTCTAAAAATCCAGGGTCCTTAAAAAATACATTAAATCTACTCTGCCTGTGCTCTGTACATGGAACCACAAAGCCTGGATGACAGCACATCTGTTTACAGCATGGTTTACTGAATATTTTAAGCCCACTGGTATCCTGTTGCTCAGAAAAAGGTTGCTAAACGTCACTGCTTATTGACCTGGTGCACCTTGTAATCCAAGAACTCTGGTGAAGATGGAGAGGGGATGAATGATTTTCATGCCTGCTCACAACAACATCTGTTCTGCAGCCCATGGATCATGGAATCACTTCGACTTTGAGGTCTTATTTTTGAGAAATACCTTTTGTAAGGCTATAGCTGCCATAGATACTGATTCCTCTAAGGGATCTGGGCAAAGTCATATCGACATTCAGAGGAGTTTGGAAGAAGTTGATCCAGTCCTCGTGGATAGCTTGGAGGGTTTCAAAATTTCAGTGGAGGAAGTAACTGCAGATGTGGTGGCAATAGCAAGAGAACTAAAATTAGAAGTGGAGCCTGAAAATGAGACTGAATTGCTGCAACCCTGTGATAAAATTTAAATGGAGGAGGTGTTGCTTCATCCATATTCCTTATGAATGAGCAAAGTCAGTGGATTCTTGAGAAGAAATTTACTCCTGGTGAAGATGCTGTATAGATTGAAATGACAATAC